GTATGAAAATGCAACAGAATATTTTCATAAGCATTTTAATGAAAATAGATTTGGATACGCTTGCAATGTATGTGATCGGTTATGGTTTGAAAAAGATTTGAAACAAGTTACTGATAGCCATTTAGATGTATTGAGTATGGAGTTTGTAAATGAAAATGTATCCCAATTTAAGGTATGCACAACATGCTGGCTATCTTTAAATAAGGAGCAAATACCTAAATTGTCTAGGAGTAATGGATTTGTGTATCCACTTTAGATACAATAAAACGTTGGCTTACTTATTTGATTAATACTCCATTGCACAAACATTACAAGATTACAATTAACGATGCATTTTTCCAAAAACAAGAAACTACTGGAGAAGAAAGTAAATGGATAGAAGACATAGAATTGTCAAATGACGTAGAATTGCTGCTAGCTCAACAGCAAACTCTCCTGTGGAATGAGGATAAATACTTGGAAATTGCTCCCTTATCCATCATATACGATGAACACGCGGAAGAGTTGTCATTTCCAGGCGTCTATTTAGGAAGATCGAGGCAATTTAAAGAACATCACAAGGTAACAAAAACAATATGACACACAAACAATGGGATACATCAACACAATGAGACACAACAAAACAATAAACAAAGGACACAACAAAAACCATAAGACACAACATACAATGAGATACATCAACACAGAGACAGAACAAAACAATAAAAAAGGACACAACAAAAACAACACATCCCACTCAAAATCAACCAACTCATAAATTACAAAACCATCCAACCTCAAGTACTTAACTTAAAAAAAAGAACTTAATACCACCTAGACATAAGACAATAACTGTAATGTATTACAAACGTCATGAACTGATGCACTCACACAACAATACAATGAGACACAACAATACAACATACCACACTCAAAATAAAACATCTGACACACAATAAAAAACACACATCCACTAATTAATCACAATACTTAAGAGTGGAATATAAAGTCCGCTCTCAGTACATGAAAATTTTATCCCAAAGAACTACAGCCCTTCATCACTTGGAGACTAAGACACTTCACTTCACTTATCACCATTTATTCCCAACTTAATAACCCTTAGCTTGTAACTACTTTTCTGACCCTCTTTCTAAAGGTGCCTAATTTACAGGGGACAGACTCTAGCACGCCTGGAGGTAATTGGTTCCAGCTTCTTATGGTCCTATTTACAAAGGAATATTTGCCTACATCCGTTCTTTGTTTCCTAGTCCTAATTTTCCGAGTATGATCGTCCCTGCCCAGGTAGCATGGCTTTAATAATCTATCCTCTATCATTTTCCAAGCCCGGCCCCCCGTGTATGCTTTGAAAAGGGCGCACATTCGGGCTATCAATCTACGCTGTGCCAATGTTTCCCAACCAGATTCGTTCGTGAAATTAGCAAATTTAGCCGCTCTCTTCTGCACCCGATTTAGTGCTCTTACCTGTCCTTCCCTGTAAGGGTCCCAACACACAGCTCCATATTCAAGTATCGGTCTCACTAGCGACGTATAAGCTAAACGTTTCGTATTGTTATTTCCCTTTTTTAGTATACGCATTACGAAATGGAGAGCCTTCCATGCTTTAATTAGTGTATAATTTACATGATCTGCCCAGCTCAGATCGCTGCGAATAAGTATTCCTAAGTACTTAAAGCTATTTGCCTCTGGAATTAATTGATCCCCAAAAAGTACCTCAGCCTATTATCCTTCACCCTAGAGCCTATACATGGCAATGAAAATAATGCGGTTACGAGTTAGCGAAGGCTTACACAACACTTTCAAATGTATAGGAGAAACAGATAACATTACAAGAAAGATGATTGAAGATAAGGAATTTTTAGAAATATGCGTAGAAAAAGACCTATCGTTTCTAAAGTCCATACCTAATTCTGTACACTACTGGGCTCAGAGGAAGCGAGAAGTTATGGCCACTGAAGATCCTAATTCAATGCCGATAATATTGACAGGAGATTTTAACATTGATTTAAAGAAGGAGGAACATCAAAGCTTTGTCACATTTATGGAAGAAACGTTTGGCTTAATGTTGATGTCAAATCCTCAATGTAGTACTACTAGATTAAAATCTTGTATAGATATGGTGGTTGCACGATATGTCGATACTCTAAAATGTACAAATTTTATAACATATTTCAGCTACCACAGACCCATTTTAAGCGTAACTAATTGAAGTTGAATAATCAATGTATTAATCAAACTTATCTCAATTGTAAAACATGTATAAAGAAAATATTTAGAATAAAGCCAATTTATAAACTTCCTTTCCGTATAGACGTATTTACGTCAAATTCTCCGGAACCATGGTTCCACTGACAACTTTTTCTTACAGCTCTTTTCCGACCACATCAGAGCACTGACTGAGAGATTTGACTCGAGGTTAGCTGGTGTGGGGAACCCCTTAGTCCGGTAACTCGGGAGGCACTCGTGCCGAACGAGGGCTGTCAGAGGTCACCCAAGGGCGACCGAGGGGGACTGATGTTCAAGTCGGCGCAACGACTAGTCCGACTGCTCGGCTGCCCTGACTGGGGTTTTCCGAGCTTTTCCTCAGTTGTAAGGCGATCATGAAGGCCTTCAGACGAGTTAACAGACGCCAAACATTCGCAGAAACAGCTGTTTCTTTTTGTACCAGCCACAGCTCGTTCTGTAAGGGCATTGATTGCTTAATCAATGGCAGGTGAAGGTACATTTACGTTGCCCGCAGCACCAAACACTTTTATGGCACTGGGCTAACAGTGAATAACGTACAACCTGTCTAATTTGCCTATCAGATATGAAAAAAAAACACTGAATACAAATTCAGGCATGCCAACCAATCAATAACTCAGAGAAGCCAATTAAAATGAGTGGAAATATGATACTGACCAGAAACTAAAATCATATTGGGTCATATAAAAAATAAACATTAAAGTAGATACATTGTGTAAAGAAAATGTAAGATAAAAGAATTCATAAAATAACTTACATACACACTTCAATTCCAGTCAAGATTTTAAGTATGTCCAGAACATGACAAAAATTTTCATGGATAGCGTTAGTAACGTGTACAATTTTCAAATGTGTTCTTTGCAACTCTGTGCCCCTTTATCATCCTTGTTTGTTTATCACAAGTAGAAATCTATTATCACAACTAATCAACAGTGAAGACAGTACACTGTACCAGATTATAAATTCCTTTGCTAACAAAGTTAATAAAAAGTACAGATTTTGAACTGATGAAGAGTCTTCCTTGCTTTCCAATACGTGTTCATCAAACTGAGAAACGACTGACATAAAAGTTGTGTATTTTAATGGCATCTGTATTTTATGTCGTGCACCAGTTTTTACTTATGAGCCCTTCAGAAATGATCAAAGCTCAATTTCAGCTTCATATTATATTCAATTAATGGTCAATTCTGCAACAGGCTCAAACAACCTCGCTTGTAATGTTATGACTGGCAGGCTCTGTGAACACAACCTGTGTAAAAACCTACATTCACATCACCTATGGCTAATGACTCACCACGCAACTTACAAAATCATGAAGAGATCTGCTGCAACTACAGTCGATATTATACGCTTATCAGTTTGCAAATCACAGTGCTATTTCAAGCCCACTTAGTTTCCTGTCCATGAGGTACCAGTACAATGCAGTCCCTTCTCTGGAGACAGGAAGAAGGTGACTATTCACATTCTTTCTTTGCCATTGTCTGAGGAAATCATGAAGCCTTGCATACATGTGCTCTGTGCACCTTCATAGCAAAGGGCACAGGAAAAAATAAAACTCAATTAACACTCCTGACACGTGCACACTTCTGTTTGGGTAGAAGGGGAGGGGATAGGCCCCACCACAACCACTCCCACCTACTCCTAAAATAAATCTCTGTGACCTTTGCATTAATCTGTTATCAGTTCTACTCATTTCTAGGCTATTATTAGGGGATCAAGCTGTGAGTCACTAGATGGCGTGTACTTTTACCTTCAAATCAGTCGTGTTTCACTGCTGAGTGAAATAATGATTACATGTAAGCTGGCTATTTCATGACTTAATAATTGTAGTGACAGTCTTCTGTTAATCTAGAGGTGAGGTCATTCAAGGGCAGAGAATGTGGAAAGGAAGTGACTCGGCTCTATTTCAAGTAACTGTACCAGGATTTCCTTGGAAGGACTGAGGAAAACACAAGAACTTCACACAGGATAGTCCCACCTCCAAGATATAACCGTAAACAAACTTTTACTGTTATGGTTAGTCGTGCCAATGGAATCACTGATTTTCAGTGAAGACTCTTGGAAATAAATACAAAGTGAACAATCACATCTCAGAAACAACTCCAAGAGATTCAAATGCTGATTTAAACAAAAAAAACCTCAGTAGTTAATGTTGAAGTTGGCCACTGACATCTATTAGTGTCAAAATTAAAAATGTGTTAAGTTTTATCACCACTGATGCTGGCATGCTACTTACGAAGGGTATCTTCATCTTTTTATTTAAGATCCCACAATAGAGGCTGTATAGTTTGACCCTCAGAACAAAAGGAATTCTCTCAACAAGGTGTCATTACCTGCAGAGCCAAAGCAAAATTAAATTCTGATTCATGTGGTCTAAGCTGCTACCTGTAGAACTGATCCACTTTTTTCAGTCTTAATTCAGGAATCCTATTTTTAACATTCAGGGTCATATGAGTTCTGAATAGGCAATGTTTGTCCAATGCTCAGCTACGGTTAGTTGTGGGCTTTCTTATTCCTCCTTTACCCAGTTTACAGTTCATAAATACTAGAACAAAACTTTAGGATATGTCAAAATGTGGCTAATCCCTTTACTTATGAGCTCCATAAAGTGAAACTGAACTCATATACCAATTTTAAAGTTTCATGCCAGTAGCAAGAGGATTGTCACAAGCAAACAATTCTGTTCTGTAACTGACTGGGGGTGGAGGGAGGGGGGGAGGGGGAGAAGAAAGAAATTAGTTTTATTCAGAACAGTTCTAGACAATATTAAAAACAGAATGATTCCAATCATTCGTTATTTGTACTTTTCCACAGGCTCAGGTATCAATTCACACAGAGTGGTAAATCACACTAAAAATTATATTAACACAAATGTTAGTTCATGTTATCTCTGCTACTCTGCATGTAATAGATATGCTGCACCACAACAAAATTGGCATCAGTGAAAGGAAGGCTTACATCACATATTATACAGAGTGACTGAACATTCACGCAACCCATTCCGACATATGTTTGACTTATCAAAAAATAATACTGAAAACAATGCTGTGTTAAGTGTTGGAAATGTCCACCACATTCAGAGATGCACATATATCGTCACTGAAAACTGAGGGTCGGCAGACTGCTTTCCATCCTGCAAACTACCAGTGCCATGGAAACAGTTCACCAAATGTGATATTGTCAATTATTTTTGGCACCGGAGACTCAGAAAATTTATCCCTAAACACTAAGTTAAGTAAAAACAAGATGCCATTCAGTGTTTGACAATAAATACACATTATATTGTGAAAAACACATTCTTGCATGTCAACTGAAGAAAGAGGATGGATGGACTGGTGCCAGCATATTACAACATACGACCTGCGAGGGCTCTTGTATATTCAGAGTCATAATACACGTTGATTACTTCAGTGATTTTGTACTGAATTTCAACCATCAATAAATATTTTAATATGGCCACATGACTCTTCGATCGCTCTGTACAATCTGCACATATGAAACAAATGAATGCATGTACAAAATTTGAAAAATCCACTTACGACAAGAGGTAATTTATTTAATTCTTAATTTGAACTGCTGGTCTCTCTTATTGTGACAGCAATGACCTTGTGACACATGCCAACATTTACCATCTGTATGCATTCTATCCATCTTGAATTCTTACATTATGATTTATTCTTGTGTAAAGAATTCTCATTACAGACAAAGTAGAAATCAAAGTTGTTCTTCAGATTCTGGTGCCTTGCTGTGCCGCTGTCATGTAAGAAGCCAACTATGTCTCTCCCCATTCCAGGGTACATTTAGCTGTTGCAAAATGCCAGTCATTTTTGGCCACGAGTTCAGTGAGGTGGTGACATCTGTAGGGTGCGATGTCTATCACCTGAAAACAAGGTGACAATGATGCTGTGGATCCAAACAGGTATAAAAATGACCTGGTGGTGTTAGTACAGCAATAATAAACATAAGAAATACGCTTGGTATAAATTTGCGCATGGGGCTGGGCAGAGATTTGTGTGGTGCCAGCTGACCAGGTGCACAAACTACCCAATAACGTCTCACTCCAGCAAGCACATGAAAATATTTCCATATGGAACTAAATATTCTTCAATGCCATCTCCAAAAAACCTACAAATAACATGATTTAATAGTATTCTCATGACCCCCCAATGATGTTTTCCAACAAAAATGTCAAATTTAACTTTTGTTTCTACATTTTCAACAACTAGAATTTGCTTATTTAAAAACAATTTCCATTTTAGCCCATTCCACTACCATCATATAGAGTTGCCTTTTACTTCAGAAGAATGGAGGACATAAGTGAGTAAGCTGGCCTGACAGAGCCACTGTCAAGTTTTGCCTGCATCACTCGCATCGATGTGAGATCTGGGATCCTGATCCTTGGAGGAGGAATCACTGGCAATCTGTGGGCTAGCATCTTACACCTGAAGGGCCATCAAAGGGTAAGTCAGTAAGCCACTGGAAGCACTCAGAAAACTGCTTCAAAAGCTAGGTTTGTATGGCCAGCACTAGGAACGGTATCAGAGAGTAGGTGCAGAGTGATATGTAAGTTCTACCAGACTACAGGACACAACCCAGAAGACAGCCATCTCAGTGAAAAAATCATATCCTATTAGATATGTAAGTTACTGAATTATCTGCAGGTATATGTAGAATCAACTGAGGTTTTATGATGCCATAAATGATAAATACTTGGCACGACAAAAGAAACTGAGGAAAACCATAGTTATGTTAAATGACCAAGATAAAACCATATACTCCCCAAATATAAGTCACCTGTTTTGCTGTTGAGGTACTTTCTCTTCTTAATAGTATTTGATATATTAATAAAGAGTGACTTTGTCAAATGTAAACTGAATCATTTGTGTAAAGGTCAACCTACTTCAAAATCTATAGTGTATCTCTGCATTAAACATGTCTAAAAAGCATTGGTGTGCACTTTACAGTTACTGAGGATAGAAGAGTTAGGTTATAATTGCACATTCGCATTCGTACTACTAACAGATCTATTTGTAAGAAGCCACTCAATTTTCACACGCCCAAGTTACAATAATCCTTCAGTTGCCATCACGACACCAAAATACTGCAAATATTGTGAATTCCCATTTTCCTACTTTCATGATAGCTGCAAGTTTCAAAGACCTATCTGCATGCAAAATGTCAGCAGTCCACAGAGAATGAGGCCAGCGATGCTCCTATCTCACAGGTGTGCAAGATCCCATTTTAACTTTCTTCATGTCAGAAAAAAATGGTGAGGTCTCACAGAAAACGTGTTCATATTACTGATGTGTACAGCTTAACCAGGGGACAGACAAATTAACAGAAACATACAAGCCGCTAATAGTGATTCAAAGAAGAAAACGTTATTTAAGAATCCTAAAAATAGGCAATACATGTTAAAAAAATATGAGTAAAATAACCCAAAACAAACAGAAACCTTCTCACACAATGCACGTTCCACTGTCCACCTGATTTGCTCTCCTGTTCCACCACAATAAGTCCATATGAAATCATTCAATAAAGAATGGCAGCATTATTTGAGATTTAAGGTTGCCATGGAAACAAGCATAAAGAAAGCTGTCTTCCTTGATAGTCTGATAGATGTTGACTGGTATCTCACAGGAGCTTACTGCCTCCGTCATCAGAGTGAGTGACGGAGGCTGTAATCTCATCTGAAATATCAGTGAATATCCACCAGAGTACATAGTATTTCATCCCAGAAGACAATCATCTTCAACCGCAGCATCATTACGCCAGATTAACTTAAAATATGCCGACCAAAGGACCTCACTTGGGGTATGGAACTGGCAAATGACTTCAGTGGCTATGCCCTGCCACATCAACCCAGGAGGAAAACTGTGCATCTTTGGTGCTTCACCCCCCCAAAGAAAAATCGAGGTGCAGTATTATCATTTGATTCAGCCCCACATGCTTATCAGCCGTGAGTCTAGCATCCAGTTTGTGCAGTAATAAACTACTTTTTAGGCACGCCCAAAACAGTGCACCCATTTAGCTTTGCCCTTTCTCATCTATTTCCCTTCATGCAATGAATCTGCTGAATGGATTGTCATGAAAATTTATGTTGGGCAGTTTTAATTCAGCTGTTAACACATTTTGATTAAAATCAGGCAATTTTAATGGACACTTCACACGGAGCCTATAGAAAGAGAGACACCCAGACAACCCTGACATTTCTGGTGCCATTTAAATTCTAATAAACACATAATAAATCGTTACATTATGCATACATTTTCTAATGTGTTTTGTGCTGCAGTGTTTCCCTACCTGATTTACAAGAATGAGCTGAAAATAATTGTTGTTAAAGTCAGCCCTTAAAGATTTTCCAAGATTTTGGGGTACACTGATGCTATGGGCAAGGAACAGATTCATGAGTCCTGGCTAACACATGTGAGTTCCAAGAAACTAACCAAACTAATACCTTCTCTCGCCACCAGACGACTCAGCTTACTTCACATTGTTTAGCGGAACAACAATGTAGACTTTGTTTACATTGTTGTTGGGTGTGATACACGTAAGACGTCAGTTCAGTAGTACGGAAATTTTTTACCGTAATTGTGTTGTTCAAAATTGAAACTGAAGAAAATTGTGGAAAGTGAAACGTCGGTAGATATGTCGAGCTTCATTATTCAAGTAGATCAACAGGCTACCCCAAGAACGAAAAGGAAATTACTTGAAGAAATAGATTCAACTGATAATGCTTGCCTGAAGAGGTTAAACAATGAAGATTATTTGAGCACAGGAAACTGGAGACTTTCAACTGCAGTCGAAGTAGTGAATTTAAATGGACAAACTATCTCTTTAAACACTGCAGCATTTAAATGGATAAAAATACAGATTATTGATATGAATGAGTCTTGTACTTCCAGGAATGAAAATAATACAATAGAAATTACTCTTCAAAATACTGCCAGTATTTTCAAGAAGATTTCTGTGAGTGGTACTTGCATGGATTCTAATTTAGACTTTTCTAAATGTATTAAACTATCGGAACATTCAGTGACAGAATTTAAACATAATGACGATACCGACGACTTCTGCAATAACGATCTTTCGTGGCTTATAAATTTTAAAACTAATGCATTGCCTAACGCAGCTGAAGTCGAACACAGTCACAAAAACAAAGGAGGAAAAGAGGAAGAAACTGCATACCTAGGTATGTGCTACAAATATTTATTCATCGAGTGCGCTTTGTTCTTTGCATTCTGTATTAAATTACCCCACAGTATAATCTCCTTTGGTCAACTGAGATTTTCCTAAATTCCCCAGTTTTATGTGGACTTAATAATTACCGCCTTTCAGTTACACCCAGTGAGATCCAGTTCATAACTTCAATATATATTTCTGAAAATCAATTATGCAAAGGCAGAAACAATATTTATATTAGTTACTATTAATATATGACGGTAAATATTTAATACATTAAATAAATCTATTTTATTCTTATCATAAAATACTAAGGCTTTTGTCTGACCAAACACTTTTTCGACAGTAAGTGAACAAACGTTACGGTTTAGAGAGTAGTATTCCTGCTAAGTACTGTCGAGGTTCATTGTTCGAATCTCGATTGGCAGACTGGGTATTTGTATAAAAATTCTTCGCTGTTTCTTTCAATTTTCTGGATGATTCTTAGAAAAATTCCACTATTTATTCACGTAAATATCCATCCTTCATCTTATTACAGTAACTTGTTCATTTCTGTGAGTGCACACGACAGGTATGGTTGATATTTGTATTTACCTGTTGTTTATTTAACGACGCTGTCAATAGCTCAGAATAGTCTTATTTGTAGAATGATAATGCTAGTTTTTGAATTATTATCAGGAAGGAGAATAGAATTAAGTGGTAGTGGCGTAATTCACCCGAAACTTACCAGGAAAAACTGAGGAAAACCAAGAAAATTTCTCAAGAATCTGTCATGATATGCAGCTCGTGTAGAGAGATATGAACCGCTGACCAGCAGAATTATAACTGAGAATTGCTAACCATTTGACAGCGATATTCAGTAAGTAAGGATATTTGTTTCTATTAATATAATATTAATATAAATGCGCATGTATAAAACGACGTTTCCTTTGTTTAAGATGCTGGAAAAATCCGATACCCAGAAGTTGGCCTGGCATCTTCGTGCATTGGGGCGACAGAGACTTCACCCTCGCGTGATCGGGCGTGTCCTCCAGCTGTTGTGAACGACGAGAATTGTTACTCTGCACTTACGAGACCACCGTTCACATATGCTGAAATGATAGAAAAAGCTCTTTTGGAGAATGGAGAACTTACAGTTTCTCAAATCTACCAATGGATTTCGTAAGTAGCCTGATAGAAATTAAATATGTCTTTTGAAGCAGTTTTTCATTACGTTAGAAAATAAATGAATCCATCACAGAAAACTTCCCTTCACTGAACTGATATTTTAGCTTCATTCAAAATACGCCTTTAAGTGTTGATAGTGTCAGTGGTCCGGAATTAAACACTCCCAAATGTCTCGGTTAGAACGCATTCAAATCACCTACCATCTTTACTGTTTAACTCGTAACAAAAGCCAGACATTAAGCCATTGAGAAACCAAGCCAACAAAGTTCGTTTTGAACGCAATGGTTCTCATCCCGCAGTCTATGTGCAGTAAAATACAACTGAACACCATTCAGTGTGATAGAACATCTGGACTGGTGATTGCAGAATATTCTTCACATCCAGCAAACATTTTGAGCTAAAAATTAATGAGGTTATGGAATAAATGATCAAGGAAAACAAAGTCAGAATGGTTTATGAAAAATTAGCTCTTGTCACAGCTTTTTCCTCAGTTCCATGCTGCAGATTTTTAAATGAAAATATGTATCACACTGCCAAGAAAGTTTCGACTGTCCCTGAGTCTTAAAAATCAGTTCTGTACAAAGAAGCAGAAATATAGCCTACTTAAAGTCTTTTGTAAAACATGTTTAAATCCCTCTGACCGTTTGTGTCAACCTGTATATTAAAATTCTTTTATGCATTTTATTACAGAAAACACTTCACGTACTTCAAAGCCAATGATAACACATGGAAGAATTCGGTCCGACACAATTTAACAACCAAACCAATTTTCTCGAAAGGTGCAAAAGGACCACGTGGAGCTGGTCGCATCTGGACACTTGCGAGTAAAAATTAAAATTTCCAGTAAATCCTGGAAAGAATTTGTAAAAAATTATCTTTTCTTTTGGCATGTTTCTTGATTTTACGTATTGCTAGATAATTTTTTTAGAGGTTTCTTTCATCAACAAGGATAAATTACAACATACAGCTGGGATGAAAAACATGAACTTCGATGATTTTAAGAACTCGTCAACTTTTAAATACACCTGTGAATTGCAATACAAAGAGTTATAAACTTAACAAATAATAACATCTTGAATAAAGTCAATGATATCTCTTGTTTGACAATAATTTTGAACCTAGAGTAACAAAACTATTTGCAATTCAATTGATTTATTTTAGTGTTTGCCAACAGCAAGAAGCCAATATCAGGAAAACACTGATAATACGTACAATAATAATAAAATATTTCACAAACAGATTAACTAAACATATACATGTACAGTATTAAATATAACAGCCAAATACAGGCAAACCCAAAATAGAAACAATATTGTATACAAAGAAAAATAAATGAATATAAATAAACGCAAATAATCCACCTAGGGAACATATATATAAATGTAAAGCGTTAAAGAAATACAAAAAAGCAGATAACGAAGCTAAATCATCTATTAAGAAAACCTATCTAGATCATTTCCCTTATTTAGAACGTGCCCTCAAGGGAGACAACGTTTATGCTAAATACGTCCAAAGATTTACATACGTCATTTGTGTGATAGAACATCTGGACTGGTGATTGCAGAATATTCTTCACATCCAGCAAACATTTTGAGCTAAAAATTAATGAGGTTATGGAATAAATGATCAAGGAAAACAAAGTCAGAATGGTTTATGAAAAATTAGCTCTTGTCACAGCTTTTTCCTCAGTTCCATGCTGCAGATTTTTAAATGAAAATATGTATCACACTGCCAAGAAAGTTTCGACTGTCCCTGAGTCTTAAAAATCAGTTCTGTACAAAGAAGCAGAAATATAGCCTACTTAAAGTCTTTTGTAAAACATGTTTAAATCCCTCTGACCGTTTGTGTCAACCTGTATATTAAAATTCTTTTATGCATTTTATTACAGAAAACACTTCACGTACTTCAAAGCCAATGATAACACATGGAAGAATTCGGTCCGACACAATTTAACAACCAAACCAATTTTCTCGAAAGGTGCAAAAGGACCACGTGGAGCTGGTCGCATCTGGACACTTGCGAGTAAAAATTAAAATTTCCAGTAAATCCTGGAAAGAATTTGTAAAAAATTATCTTTTCTTTTGGCATGTTTCTTGATTTTACGTATTGCTAGATAATTTTTTTAGAGGTTTCTTTCATCAACAAGGATAAATTACAACATACAGCTGGGATGAAAAACATGAACTTCGATGATTTTAAGAACTCGTCAACTTTTAAATACACCTGTGAATTGCAATACAAAGAGTTATAAACTTAACAAATAATAACATCTTGAATAAAGTCAATGATATCTCTTGTTTGACAATAATTTTGAACCTAGAGTAACAAAACTATTTGCAATTCAATTGATTTATTTTAGTGTTTGCCAACAGCAAGAAGCCAATATCAGGAAAACACTGATAATACGTACAATAATAATAAAATATTTCACAAACAGATTAACTAAACATATACATGTACAGTATTAAATATAACAGCCAAATACAGGCAAACCCAAAATAGAAACAATATTGTATACAAAGAAAAATAAATGAATATAAATAAACGCAAATAATCCACCTAGGGAACATATATATAAATGTAAAGCGTTAAAGAAATACAAAAAAGCAGATAACGAAGCTAAATCATCTATTAAGAAAACCTATCTAGATCATTTCCCTTATTTAGAACGTGCCCTCAAGGGAGACAACGTTTATGCTAAATACGTCCAAAGATTTACATACGTCATTTGCAGCGATGACGCACCTGACTGAAGGACTATGTCTTAGTGCACTGCTCACTCTAAAAGTAGAAGATTCTCACACTGTCGTATATAAACCCTCTTGCCATATATCAACCCTTCATACATGTAATTGTGTATGACTGTATGTAGTGTTTGTTATTTTTAGTTATTATTAATAGATACCTGTAATCGTCAATACATTGTAAGGGTCAGTAAGCTACAGATGTTACAAGCCAGACTGTGGGGATATTGAACCATAAAAATGATAAGAAGATTGCTATACAAAAATCAGATTATACTAATACCCCACGCGTCTTTAAGTAAGTGTGTCACCCTACGGTAAACCCCCGCACCTGTTGATGAGTATTTTCCCCTCCGGCACAGGACACACTTTTAATCCCCTTTATAAACCACTGTCTGTAAGCACCACGCGGACTACACCGGAATTCACCACCGAACGTTGCGTTCTACTCTGCATCACGCCTAATAGTTTACTGACCCGAGCTATAAACTGGTGTAACTTTGTTTCAATAAACAATTATATATATCTACTGAGTTGCTACAAGTGAGCTTGAATTTCAATTCTTAAGTGTCCAACGCACCCAATCAACAGACTCCCGCTCGGTCTACGCTCCCGTATCCCATCACCATCCTTCGGGATACAACAACACGTATACCAACAGTGTCCATAATGGAATGACAATTTATTTTTCCCTTAAAGACATTAACAAGAAATAACGCATCGAGATGACGTCATCTGGAATAGAGTGTTCTAAGATTTAAAGCAGACAAAATCAATTCATATTTGCGTGGGATATTAAACTGAAAAACCGATAATTGCACAAACTGGCAAAATTCCTTTGAATATTTTCTAATTTATTAGAATCTGTCTGTGTAAGATTATTCCATACGACCGAGGCGTACTCAAACTTTGACCTAATTACAGCATTGTATAAAACAACAAGGCCGTCTAGGGAGGAAAAATTATAAGTAATAAAACGAATAAGCCCTAAGGTCCTTAGTGCCTGGGAATGAACACAATTTACATGACAGTGAAAATATAGTTTACTGTTTAACAAAACACCAAGATCTTTTACACAATTAGTACGCAAGATTAAAAAGTCACTAACAACGTAATTAAAATGGATACTGTTGGTTTTACGTGTGAACGATATAATTTTGGTTTTCTCTATGTTAAGTTCTATATTGTTAACATCGCACCACTGATGTACAGAATCAATATCTGCTTGAAGAGCTCTGCAGTCATCCACAGATTTAATATCACGATATAGTTTCAAGTCATCAGCAAATAAGAGAAATTTAGAATACTTAATTTTGTCACAAATGTCGTTAATAAAATATTAAATAAGAGAGGTCACAAGGTAGAGCCTTGTGGAACTCCAGATAACACCGAGCAAGCAAAAGCAGACTGTCCTAATATGCGAACAAAGGCAGATCTGGATGATAAATAACTTTGGAACCACTTGACATAAGGAGAAGATAGTCCAAAATTATTAAGTTTTTTCAAAAGAATAGAATGCGGGACTGAATCAAAGGCCTGCCTAAGATCAAAGTACACAGAGTCGATCTGTTCCTGTGAACAAACCGACGGCTGAACATCGTTTAGGTAGGTAACTAAATTGGTTACCGTAGATTTTGATTTACAAAAACCATGCTGACTGAGGTGTAATTTGAATTTGAAATAAAAAGAAAGGTGACCATGAACAATACTTTCAAAAATTTTGGAGAGGTTATTTAAGATTGAAATAGGCCTATAGTTAGATACTAAGGCGCTGTTGCCTTTCTTAAAAATCGACACAACAGACGCTCGCTTCCATAACAAAGGAAAATTCCCACTAGATAAACTAAGGTTGAAAATATGGCGTAAAAGACGAGTTAAAATCTCAGTACAACCTTTGATAACGAAAGTCGGGATTTCATCGGGTCCGACGCATTTCGTCGAACGGAGACGACTAATTTCCCGCGTAACATAAGTGGAATATTCAAAACATTAGAACAGGCGAAGTCAGAACTAGTCGTAACTTTAACGCAAGAAGACGAGTTAAAAACAGAACGAAAGCGATCTGCAAAGGCCTCTGCGATTGACTGCGGTTCCGTGATAAAACTCTCTCCAACTTTAAATTGTGTAATAGACTGGTCTTTCTTCTTAAATTTAGAAATATATTTCCAGAAGTGCTTTGGATGGGGTTTCAAATTATCTTCAATTCAATATATCTGACTTAATGGTCATTTTAACAAGTTTACGATAATACGAAAAAAACGCTATAATGCTAATCAGACTTAGATTTTTTAAATTTCTTAAGAGACGCATTTTTCTTTCTAATGTAATAGACAAAAGTTTTGGAAAACCAACGAGGATAGGTAGAATTTTTGGGTTTTGCAAAGGGAACGGCTAGGTTGATAGCCTTGGACACAGTAGCCGTGAGATTATTAGCTGCAGCATCAACATAATTTTAATTAAGAACGCAAGACCAGTCCGAGTTTTCTAGGGTATAATATTAATAATAATATTATTATTATTATTATGATCAATTGTTTAATCTGGGCTGCAAGCATCCAAGTTATGACTGCAACACGCCTGAAGTTTTTGGCTGCTTGTGGACCAATTAAACAATTGATCATAATAATAATAATAATAATAATAAAGCCACTAAACCTGACATCGTTCTCATCGATGCCTCTGGATGCACCATGTATGTCATCCAGTACGAGGTGGCGTAAATTACCTTTAATTTTGTTACAATAGTAAGAATTAGAAGAAGGGGTGCCGTTTAGCCAGTCGTAATCGGGAGCATTAAAATCTCCTAACATGACAACCCGATAGAAATGCGAGTTTAGATTTACTTCTAAAGAGTTTAAATAATTTTCAATTACTTTTGTATCGCAATCCGGGGCAAAGTTATGATTCCACGTAAGCAGACTATGGTTTCAACCCCCACATACTCTTCAATCGTTTCCAGATCATGCCTTCGTTTAACGACGCACAACGACTTTGAGAATGCAGTCACGAAACACGTAATAAAGTTCAGGAAAAATATTTTAACTTAATATAGAGTCATTAAGCCAGGTTTCCGTAATGCAGTACATTCCGGACGTGATAGCGAAAACATTGTCAATGAAGTGACTGCATTTGGTTCTTAGACCCCTGACATTTTGATGAAATATATCAAAATCGCAGTAGTCGAGAGCCATAATCAGTGGGAATCCGAGCCGCCTCCAGGCACAGGAGCCCCACAGCCTGACTCTATTGACCTGACAGGCGTGCTCGAGGAGTAGAATGGAGCAATAAGG